CCACCGTTGAACCCAAGGTGTCTGTTGCTAGGGTGGGAAATTTGTTAAGTGCCCCATTTTACGTGATCTGTTAAATTTACTTTAGCTTTTCTTGCCACATTGGTTAAGTGAATGGCTTAACAGTCGTTAAATTGCTGATGTGGTTGTTAAGTGAATCCAGTTTCCCCATGGACTTTGCTAGTCAGAAGGTCGCAAAAGGGGATCACGCGACCCCGGGACACTGCGACCGTCATAAATGTGAGTCAGTTTGGGGTTTTTTTGCTTTGAAACCATTTCGCTGTTCAGTTCCAATAGAATGGAATGGAGTGGAGTGGAGTGGAGTGGAGTGGAGTGGAGTGGAGTGGAGTGGAGTGGAGTGGAATGGAATAGAATAGAATAGAATAGAATAGAATAGAATAGAATAGAATAGAATAGAATAGAATAGAAGGGACCTATACCATTTCAGTTAAGTGACTGTCCAGTCTCTTCTTAAAAACTTCCAGTGATGGAGCACCTACAAAGTCTGGTGGCAAGTTGTTCCACTGGTTAATTGTCCTCCCTGTTAGAAAATTTCTCCTTAATACCAGGTTGCTTCTCTCTTCGATGAGTTTTCCATCCATTGTTTCATGTCCTGCCCTCTGGTGCTTTGGCAAATAATTTGACCCCCCTCTTCTTTGTGGCAGCCCCTCAAATAATGGAATACTGCTTGATTTGAGTAATGACAGATCCCACCACCTCCTCCCCACCCCCACCCCCACTCCGCCTCTGTCCTCCCCATGTGTTCTTCGATTTTAACGTTTTGATTTTAGCTTTTTATGTTTTAGTCTGAGATAACCGTAAGCCGCTCAGAGTTACCCTACGGCAGAGGTGTCAAACTCAAGGCCCGCAATCCGGATCCGGCCCGCGATGTGGTCGGATTTGGCTCGTGGAGCAGTCCTGGAAAATATAAGGGGCCCACCCATTTTGCTTCAGCCCGGTCTACCCAATGCGGCTTCGGCCCGGTCTACCAAGTGCAAAGAAGAAACATGCCAGCAGTTTGGGAAGTAGCGTCAAGCTGGCCACGCCCACCTCATTGGCCACGCCCAGTGAGCGGCATCAATCTGGCCACTCCCACCCAGTCAACCACGCCCGCCTGCCCCCCACCCCACCCAAGGTCAACCACAACCCTGATGCGGCCCTCAATGAAAATGAGTTTGACACCCCTGCCCTATGGTAAGATGGCGGCCAATAAATTTTATCAATAAAATAATAAATAAATAAATTCCTTTCCTTCCCGCTCTGATGAGTCGGGTGGACGTAACCGGGAAGAGACAATCCTTCCGATAACCCGGTTCCAAGCCATGTTTGGGTTTGAAGGTAGCCACCAGCACCTTGCGTTGCACCCGGAAGCAAATCGGCAGCCAAGGCAGCTCCCGTAGACGAGAGGTGACACAACATGCACACCTGCGTCTGCACAAAACCACGCAGGTCGCTGCCTGTTTTGAACTCATTGCACAAGCTTGGCGAACTTGGGAGTCTCTTTTGTGCAGCTGCAGTCAGGGACGCGGTGGCTCAGTGGCTAAGACGCTGAGCTTGTCAATCGAAAGTTTGGCAGTTCGGCGGTTCGAATCCCTAGTGCCGCATAATGGGGTGAGCTCCCGTGACTTGTCCCAGCTTCTGCCAACCTAGCAGTTCGAAAGCAGGTAAAAATGCAAGTAGAAAAATAGGGACCACCTTTGGTGGGAAGGTAGCAGCGTTCCGTGCGCCTTTGGTGTTGAGTCATGCTGGCCACATGACCATGGAGACATCTTCGGACAGCACTGGCTCTTCGGCTTTGAAACGGAGATGAGCACCGCCTGCTAGAGTCGGGAATGGCTAACACGTATGTGTCAGGGGAACCTTTTTACCTTTGTGCAGCTGCAGTATGTCAATTACCTCAGACACTGGCAGCCTCCTGCTAGGAAAAACGCACAAATTGGCATATTTATTCCCTATGGGCGTATGCGTTCACCTTTTGCAAACCCCGGGGTGGTTGTTTGGCGCTTGTTGCCACATCAAACGCCGGAAATCTCAGAGCAGAAAAGACGATCATTCAGCAGGAAAAGCCGATGGGACCTCCTGGTCAAGGAACAGCCAGACGTTCCTCGTAGCAACCGATCTAATATTTTCCCCAAAGGCTCTGCGCTTCAGAATTTCAACGCAACGCTTCTCTCCCTTGAACCTCAGCTGGGGCGCAAACAGGTCGGTCTGCTTTGTTATGTAACGCAAATCCGAATATGGCTGTTTGTTTTGATTTGATTTTAAACCGGTCCTCCTTTTTTTTGTAGCAACGCAATTCCTTTTTCTCCTTGGGTTGCAAACCCTGTGGCCCTTAGCAGTGGTGAAATCTAAAATTTGTTACTACCGGTTCTGTGGGCGTGGCTTGGTGGGGGGAGAGTAATGTGACTGGGTGGGGGTGGCCAATTTTTTTTTTCTTTTAAAACCATTTTTTCTACAACCTCTTTGGTGAAGAGGTTGTAAAAAAATGCTTTCAAAAGGCTCTGACGATCCCAGCTGAGTTGCCTGATCGGCAGAGGCTTTTTTTTCTTTTAAAAGCCTCTGCCGATCAGGCAACTCAGCTGGGATCGTCAGAGGCATTTAAAAGAAAAAAAACCTCTGCCGATCAGGCAACTCAGCTTGGATCGTCAGAGGCTTTTAAAAGAAAAAAAAGCCTCTGTCGATTAGGCAACTCAGCTTAGATCGTCAGAGGCATTTAAAAGAAAAAAAGCCTCTGCCGATCAGGCAACTCAGCTTGGATCGTCAGAGGCTTTTAAAAGAAAAAAAAGCCTCTGCCGATCAGGCAACTCAGCTTGGATCGTCAGAGGCTTTTAAAAGAAAAAAAACCTCTGAGATCTGTCGATCAGGCAACTCAGTTTGGATCGTCAGAGGCTTTTAAAAGAAAAAAAAAACCTCTGCCGATCAGGCAACTCAGCTTGGATCGTCAGAGGCTTTTAAAAGAAAAAAAAGCCGCTGCCGATCAGGCAACTCAACCGAGATCATCAGCTGAGGATCCCTTTGACGATCCCAGCTGAGCCGCGCAATCATCAGAGGCTTTTTTTTTTTAACTTTTAAAAGCATTTTTTCGGCCAAGAGGTTGTAGAAAAAATGCTTTTAAAAAATAAAAAAAAAGCCTCTGATGATTGTGCGGCTCAGCTGGGCATGGGCGGGGGACAGGGATTTTTGCTACCGGTTCTCTGAACGACCCACCTCCATCGCTACCGGATTGGGCGATCCGGTCCGTACTGGGAGCATTTCACCCCTGCCCTTAGCGGGTCAACCAAGAGGCTGCTTCAGAAGATAAAACCGCATTTAAAAAACATTTCCCATTTTGCATTTTTTTATACACGCTTCAGCACAAAAGGGGAAGCAAACATCTGTCGAAATTGAAACTCACTTAAGTTTGACTCTCAAGGAAAAGCGAAGATGGTTTTGCGTTGAGCGTCCACGGCAACTCAAGAGCTTAATGCTAGAGGGATAAAATCAATGGCTACAGGTAGTCCTCAACTTACAACAGTTTGTTTAGGGACCGACGTTACAGCAGCACTGGAAAAAAAGTGACTTATGACCGTTCTTCACACTTATGACCATTGCAGCATCCCCGTGGTCATGTGATCCAAATTCAGACGCTTGGCGACGGGTTCGTATTTATGATGGTTGCTGTGTCTCAAAAGTCACGTGACCCCCTTTTGTGACCTTCTGACAAGCAAAGTCAGGAGCCTTGGTTGTACAGTGGTCTAAAGACTAGACTAGACTAGACTAGACTAGAATAAAATAGAATAGAATAGAACAGAACAGAGGATAGAATAGAATGGAATAAGGAATAGAATAGAATGGAATGGAATGGAATGGAATGGAATGGAATGGAATAGAATAGAATAGAATAGAATAGAATAGAATAGAATAGAATAGAATAGAATAGAATAGAATAGAATAGAATAGAATAGAATCTGGAAGGGACCTATACCATTTCAGTTAAGAGACTGTCCAGTCTCTTCTTAAAAACTTCCAGTGATGGAGCACCTACAAAGTCTGGTGGCAAGTTGTTCCACTGGTTAATTGTCCTCCCTGTTAGAAAATTTCTCCTTAATACCAGGTTGCTTCTCTCTTTGATGAGTTTCCATCCATTGTTTCTTGTCCTGCCCTCTGGTGCATTGGAAAACAATTTGACCCCCCTCTTCTTTGTGGCAGCCCCTCAAATAATGGAATACTGCTTGATTTGAATAATGACAGATCCACGTCCCCTGCGATCGTCATAAATATGAGTCAGTTGCCAAACGGCTGAATTTTGATCATGTGACTGTGGAGAGGCCGCAACGGTCGTTAAGTGTGGAAAAACAGTCATAAGTCACTTTTTTCAGTGCCGTTGTATCTTTGAACGGTGACTAAATGAACTGTGGTAAGTTGAGGACTACTGCACCACCAATGTACTTAGATTTTTTTCATCCGTAAATTCAGTTTAATTTAAATTAATTTTCTTTGACTTTCTGTTGGCCTAAATCCATAACTCTGAGGCTTTTATTAACTCAAAACTGGGATGAAGCAGGGATGAAAAGTGAGAAGACGGCTGGCTGGTAACTGCATCGGAACGGAGCATCCCTCAAATCATTTTCTTCAAATAATTTTAGTTCTGCCTCTCCAATGAGTCTTTCTTTACTGATTTTTTTTTTTTATTTGATTTATATGCCGCCCTTCTCCGGAGACTCAGGGCAGCTTACAATGCGTTAAGCAATAGCCTTCATACTTTTTGTATAAATTTATACAAAGTCAGCTTATTGCCCCCACAAACTGGGTCCTCAATTTACCTACCTTAGAAAGGATGGAAGGCTGAGTCAACCTTGAGCCAGGCGAGATTCGATCTTACTTTAATTGCAGACACTTGGTGTTAAATTACAGTGCTTCTGTCTGTTGAGCTAAATCAGGCTCCTTCATCCTTATCTGTGGAGTTGATTCACAATTCTCAGCTTTTTGTGTACAAAACGGGAGAGGCTCTTTTGCACAGTTAACAGCTTTCAAAATTAGTCCTTTAATTGCTTGTCCTTTTAAAGATTTCCAAGAATGAATAGTAAGAATTCCATCCAAACGTATAATTAGTGAAGAATGTCAGGCAACATTGTTTTAATTCAGTCCCGCTTAATGGAGACGACTCAAAATTGTTCAGTACAGTATAAGCTACATCCAAGATTTTGATTTATTTATTATTTTTGCTGTCTACAGGATTGTAATATTTCAATTGTTTTACTCAATGTCTACGCTAGGCTTAGTCATAAACGCATAATTGAGTGCTACTACTGATCATTATGAAAGCAAGTTCGAATAATGGCAACGAGAGCTAAAAACTTACATTTACCGTGTCCCAACAATTACAACGATCTTAGGTAAAGCAGCAAAATTGTTTATTTTTTTAAAAGAAATCATTAATCGCCAACACTAGATGCAGGCTTAAGTCTACATAAAATAGAGGGAGGGAATTTTAAGATAAACAAAACTCCATAAATATCGAGGGGTCTATTCCGAATAAAATTAATTCCATCTCCAGTTCAATGAGTTGCAATTCATTAACACAAAACATCCCATCGCAAAGGAACAGATTTGGGCAGGCAAAGCCGCATACAACTCTTTTGAGATTTTGAAATGACACTTAATTTGTGCTGTGTCTTGCCAGAAGCTAACATACAACGTTGGCCGCTGTTTGCAGAATTTGGTAACTGCAAAATTTGACTTGCACAACAGGACAGAAATGAATAATGACCGGGAATAATGACAGGCGCATTAATTGTCACAGTCTAATGCCGTGATGGCGAACATATAGCACGTGTGCCAGAGGTGACACGCAGAGTGCTCTCTGTAGGCATGCGTGCCATTGCCAGTTGCTCTTTTGGTTTCTGGCACTCGCATGTGTGCCTGTTCTGTCCCCGTCCCACACGCACATACACCAACAGACGTTCAAGAGTTAAAGACTAAACCAGCCGGCAAAATCCTTTTCCTTATGATAACGGAACTTGGCAACAACCTAGTGGCTGCCTGCCAAGAGTTTATTACTTACGAAGAGGAGAGATAACTTCTCCCCACTTCTGGTACATCAAAAGAAACAGCCCAATAATTACAGAGTCAATCAAGTCCAGAGATAATCCAGCAAAGTCTATAGCAAAAGTCCGGCAATGCAGAATGGCGTGGAAGCTTTCAGCTTTGTTCGTCACAAGGTTTGACTGGCCACCACGCTCCCTTTTATATCCTGTGGGGTGTGGTCCAGTGACTCAGCCTAATCTCGGGCACACCTTTTCTTCTGTTGCGCACACTTATCTCTGCGATGCTGGCGTGGATCCAGCCAAGACTCATTGCCCTCATCACTGTCCATCTGTGGCTGCATGGACGTGCTTGGCCCCGGCCCTATCTCTTGCCCTTCGGCGGACACCGAAGGCATTGCCAGAGAGGAGGGTCCTGGAGAGGGAGGCCTTGCCAACTTGACTCTCGGAGTCCTCTCCTGCCAATGACACAGGCTCAGGTAACGGAGCCACAACAGCGCTGGCCTGTTGGTCTTTGTGCACACCGGAGCGCCGGAAACCCAAAAACCAGCTGGCCAGTGCGCATGCGTGCGCCAGCTACCTAGTCTTCGGGTTTCCAGCGCTCTGGCACGTGTGAAGACCAGCTGGCTGGTGCGCATGCGTGTGTCGGAAACCTGAAGACCAGGTGGCTGGAGCGTGCATGCGCACTGGCCCGCTGATCTTCGGGTTGATGGCGCTTCGGTGCGCTCAGTGCCGAAAAGATTCGTCATCACTGATCTAGTGAATGTAAAGCTCACACTATTTTTCTCCAAGTTTAATCATCATCATCATTTAACCTTATAATCCCTTGCAGGGTAGAGTCCGGGCAACTGAACAGAGCTAGCAGAGCATTTTAATGGCCGGATGCTCTTCCTGTTGCCGATGTGGAGTTTTGTTCAGCGGAGATAAAGCTCCAAGTTTCTCCAAATTTCACGGCCTTTAGATTATTTGGATGGCAACCAACAGGACTCTCCAAGCAAGCTCAGTTCCTTGATTATGGTGGCTGAAGACACTTATTGGAACTGTAGCGATCCTTGGATGCTGAAGCTGATCTTTTATTCATTTTTACAACCGCTCAAAGACGCCCTTAAAACTGAGAAAAAGCTGGAATTATTTCAGGACAGCTGGGGAATGTTTTATGAATCCACAAATACTGTATCTAAAAAAAGAAGAGAGAAGGATTGTCGTTTTCTTTTTTTAAGCCGGTGAATCACGAGTTTGACATGACAGATTCTATTTTGGGTTGGTTATAAAAATGGGCACACCTGAGTATAAAGGCTTGAAGGCCTTAAATTCACATCTGGTAACAACCTGCGTTAACCAGCAAACAATTGTGGGTGCTAAATTGCACAGGACAATCTTCCAGGATGGGACACTCTTGCTTCTTCTACAAGTGGTCCTTATTTATTTTATTTATTAAATTTATATCCCGCCCTTCTCCCCGAAGGGACTCAGGGCGGTGAACAGCCGAGAATTAAAATAACATACAATATAAAAGTTAAAATAATTAGAAATAAATTAAATTAAACGGCCGCCCCAATTTAAAACCCCTAGCTATACAATTAAAAACTAACCCATAAAACCTATTCAGGCCAGGCCGGCTTGCTGAAATAAAAACGTCTTCAGGGCCTTACGGAAAGTGCGGAGATCCGGAATCAGCCGTATTCCAGGAGGTAGCTCGTTCCAGAGGGCGGGTGCTCCCACAGAGAAGGCTCTCCCCCTGGGGGCCGCCAGCCGACATTGCTTGGCCGACGGCACCCTGAGGAGGCCCTCTCTGTGAGAGCGTATTGGCCGGTGGGAGGTTATCGGTAGCAGAAGGCGGTCTCGTAAATACCCTGGCCCTAAACCATGGAGTCCTTGACCTGGAGTGGGCTTCAAAAATGTTATCAAGGGGTTGTCTGCCCGGTTGCTGGGTGGACGTGGCCATGGTGGGCGTGGCCTACTCGGCCTCCTGCACCATGGCAGGGGAGAAGTGCTTTTTGCCCTCCCCGGGCTCCGGAGTCTTTCCTTGAGCCTCCGGAAGGGCGAAAATGGCCTCCCCAGGCTCTGGAGACCATCTGGAGGTCATAAACATGCCTGTTTCCGGCCTTCCCGAATTTCCGGTAGGCCTGTTTTTCGCCCTCCCCGAGCCTCCGTGCGTACCCTGCACTTACCTGCATCCAAAACGGGTCGCATGGGGACACCTGGGAGGGGAGGGGCAGGGGGAGGAGCCAGCCAGGAGTGGGATTTGGGAGTTCTCCGAACTGCACAGAATCTTAGCTAGAGGTTCTCCCGAATCCGTGCGAACCCCCAGCAGTCCCAGCCCTGTCCTTGACTTACAATTCTCTTACTGACCATTCAGTTACAGCACTGAAAAAAGTGATTTATGACCCTTTTTCAGTTATGATCTTTGCAGCATCCCCATGATCATGTGATCAAAATTCAGACGCTTGGCAACTGACTCATCTTTATGGCCGTTGCTAGTGTCCCAAGGTCACCTGATCCCCCCCATGATGTTCTGATGAGCAAAGTCAATGGGGAAGCTGGATTCGCTTAACCACCGGCTTACTAACTTACCAACCACAGTGATTCACTTAACCACCGAGAAAGGTTGTAAAATGGGCCCAAACTCACTCAGCAACGGTCTCACTTGGTGTGTCCTGTTTGACACCCATGGGAGTAGCAGCCATGCTGGGGTCCCGTGATCACCATTTGTGACTTTGCCAGCTGGCTTCTGACAAATCACTGGGGAAGACAGCAGGAAAGGTTACAGATTGCAAACATACATTATCGGCAAACTCAGTGTGGCCACGTGATGTCTTGCTTAACGACCGCACTGCTTAACAGTGAATCTTCCAGTCCCAATTGTTTGTTAAGTTGCAGTTTACCTGCATACCTGGGGGTAGGAGGTATTGTTGTGACCTAGGCTTCCTGAGTCATTAAAACACACAAGTAGTCCCAAAAACCTCTTTTATTGCAACAGCTGTGAATTATGTTCATTCACAGCTGAGTCCCAATTAGTTGCAAAAGGACCTTCGGGAGAAGTCCTTCAGGATAATCACCAACCTTTATCTCTCTTGACACTCTGCCAAAGACCTACTTGGCAAAGCCACACGGAGTCCAGAATCAAACAGAGATGCTGACTGGGAACAGAATTAACAACGTTGCTTTCCTGCATAGGGCCCACATGCCTTTGCTCCTCTTTTAAGCCTTATGGGAGGGGCCAATCATCTCTAGGCCTTACTCCTGAGTCGTCCCTTTTGTTTTAACTGTTCGTGCCTTCTGGCAGCTCTGCGCATGCGCGCACTAGGAACAGGCTCCTCCTGGTTCTCTGCCTCTCTGAAGGCTCCGGAGTCAGCGCATGACTCCCCGATGGCCCTGGCCCCATCTCTGCGTCCGACGCAGAGTCCTCGTCTGGGGCTTCACAATTCCAGGACTGGCCCATGTTCCTCCCCAACCTCCTCATTGTCCGACTCTGCTGCCAGCTACGCGGGCTGCTAGCGGACCACAAAAGGTATAGATTGTTGTTAGGTGAATTCCGTCTCATTTTATGTCCTTCCTTGCCACAGTTGTTAAGGGAATCCCTGCAGTTGTTAAGTTACACGGCTGTTAAGTGAATCCAAAGGTCACATAACTCCGGGACACTACAACTGTCATAAATATGAACCAAGCATTGTGATTGATCATGAATTGTTGTAAGGACTTACAACTCCTGCCAGCACGGACAGGCAAGAAATTACGGGGACTTGCAAGCCAGGACATCTGTAGGGGCATTGAACTTTGCACCTTATGTAAATACGGGCGGTGGGTGGAAATTAATAGAACTGAAAGTATGAAAACAGGAAGACTCTTCTTAACGGTTTTCCTCACACCTTGTGCTGCCAACGAAAGCTCTCCTCTCAAATTTGCAAGTTGCTCCTATGTTAGAAGGTCTTCCTTTTTCAACAGCGGTCTAAACCGCATTTGTTTTGAGCCCGATTCCTGAATAGCTTTAGCAAGATTTATTGAAATACATGAGGCGGCAAGAATTCTAGCAACGGTACCATTTTCCAAATCAGAATAGAATAGAATAACAGAGTTGGAAGGGACCTTGGAGGTCTTCTAGACCAACCCCCTGCTTAGGCAGGAAATCCTAATCTGGATTAATCCCCCCCCCCCACCAAAAGAGTAGATTTTGTGCCCAATTCTCTTGTTCACAGAAGAACTAGAGTTCTATGGTACTGCGTTTAGAATTTACAAAAAAAGAACCAATACACTTTATTGCATGCAATATATACAACTTAGAGCCTAGGCACAATATTCAATATGTGTAGGAAAGTACAAAAATGGAAGTGGGTGTTTCCCAGGGTCTTTTATAAAGATTCAGAGTAGCTGTTAAGCATACAGCACTGAGATATAGAATGCAGATTTTTAACATGTTATTTGGTGTGCATCGAAATGGCATAATTCTTTTGTTCATGTTTATGGTCATGCCTATACTTGTTATCTTGTACATGTTTGACAAACAAACAAACAAATAAAAATAATCACTCTTAAAACAAGGTTAAAAAGGAAACAAAATGGAGGCAAATGAGGGCTTATCATATTTTAACTCCTAACTAAATATAGCCCCCCCCCCTCCAAGGTTCATGATACGGTTACGGAGGTGAGGACTATGGTCTTTATGACTTGTGGACTTCAACTCCCACAATTCCTGGCTCAGGAATTTTGGGAGTTGAAGTCCACAAGTCATAACAGGGCTATAATTCCCGCACCTCTGATTTACTATCTTAAAATTCCTTTTACTGCCTCGCCACCCAGCATTTCAGCAGATCTGTGTGTCCTGTTAATAAATTCATTTTTCAACCGTCTATTCGTAATGTGAGCTGCAAAACAAAAACTATTCACGCTTTCGGTTTTAAAGGGCGCCTGCCCTGATCCGTTTGCTAATCTAGACTTGCCACACCCCAAATTAAAACATTTGCCAGCATTTAATGGGATGAAATATATATTTATTTTCTTCCAAAGAAAAGTTAAGAGGAGTTTGTGTTTTTCTCAAGATAAAAATGATCCCGTCTTTGAATCAGAAAAGAACACTAGGGGGCATCGAACATTTTCAGCGTCAAAAAATTAAACTGTGCCTATCTATGAATTTTCACTCGCAAACACACCTTTTGGATAAATCTCCCTGCTACAGCATGTTTCCAGCATATTTTCTTTTCCATTTTACTAACTTCCACAAAACAGCATTACCATCGCTTGGGTTATTCCACTGTGACTCGTGTTGGCAGGAGAGGTCATCTCCATTCCTCAATAAAAACATGGAAAATATTATACAGGTAATCTTCAATTAACCACCAAAATTGAGCCCAAAATGTTTGTGGCAAAGTCAAAATGAATTTTGCCCCATTTTACGACCTCTCCTGCCAGTCGTTCAGTGAATCACTGCAGTTGTTGAGTTGGGACAGCTGGTCCTTGACTTGCAACCACAACTCAGCCCAGTTGTGTTGCCAAGCGAGATTTGTTAAAAGTGAGTTTTTGCTCTGTTTTACGACTGTTCTTGCCACATTTGTTAAGTGAATCACTGCAGCTGTTGGATTGTTAAGTGGCTTCCCCGTTGACTTTGTCAGAAGATTGCAACCGTCATAAATATGAGTCAGTTGCCAAGTACCCTGTTTCCCTGAAAATAAGACATCCCCTGAGAATAAGCCCAATCGGGCTTTTAAGCGCATGCACTAAAATTTATTTATTTATTGGTTCAATTTATATACCGCCCTTTTCCAGAGACTCAGGGCGGCTTACAATGCGTTAAGCAATAGCCTTCATACTTTTGTATATACCTGCTTAGTAGGGCTTTCGGGGGCCCCTAAGCGGTGTTCTTTTTTATACAAAGTCAGCTTATTGCCCCCGCAATCTGGGTCCTCATTTTACCTACCTCGGAAGGATGGAAGGCTCAAGTCAACCTTGAGCCTGGTGAGATTTGAACTTGCAGTAATTGCAGGCAGCTGGTGTTACTTAACAGTGTTACTTAACAGTGCTTTAGTCTGCTGCGCCACCAAGGCTCAATATAAGCCTCCCCCCCAAAATAAGCCCTCCCCGAAAATATTTAAAGATAAGAGCTGGAAATCAGGTAAGATGGGCAAGAGGAGCCCCATCTTGCTCCATGCCCCCCCAAATAATAAGACCTCCCTGAAAATAAGG